CAGAAAGGGCTGAGACAACACACCGTTACGGCTCACGCCATAGACAAGCCGTTTATATGCCATGAGTGCGGCAGAGGGTTCACTCATAAGTGCTATTTAAACGTACACCTGGTGTCACACAAGGCTGTCGGCCGGCACTACGAGTGTCCCGAACCGGATTGCGATCGGGTCTACAAAACGCCATTGAGTTTAAGGGCTCATCGGAGGAACTTTCACCGGCAACAGGCGCTGAAGTGCCCGGTGTTGGGCTGCGCGTACACCACCCGATACGAGCAGAGTTTGCATAACCACACGGCAGACCACATTGGCGTACAGCGGTTGGCCTGCGATTGGCCCGACTGTGACTACCGGACCAATAATCAGGCGTCCCTTTGGTCGCATCGCAACATAACCCACGCCGAGCGGTGGCTGCCGTGCGAATGGCCCGGATGTAAGCTCCGGTTCAAATGCAAGCGCGCACTCGTCAGCCACGCGGACACTCACCGACCGGATCGGCCGCACGCCTGCGATTGGCCCGAATGTGGTCAGAGGTTTAAGAGTAAGAATGTATTGCGCAAACATATGGTGACCCACAACGGTGTGTCCATACCGTGCGCTGTGAAGGGCTGTCTATTCACAACACGGCATAAGGAAGCCCTGAAAGTTCACTGTAAAAACAAACATTCATAAAATATTGACATAAATGTAATTTGTATTTAATTTATCTAGTGTTAAACTATTCACATAATTTTGTTTTAATTTGTTATTTAAATACACGAAATATAATAAAATAAGTTTTATTACAACTTATGTTATACTGTATTGTAAATATGTTGAGCCGATCGGGTGATTGCATCGGTAGTCTAATGAGTGTTCAGGCGTTTCGTACACCAACACAATTAAAGTAAGACATTAATGCATTATATATTAGTTGAACGCAATGGTCGAATAATTTAGTCATGGAAACGATCAATAACAATAATTTCAATTATTTATTTATTATTAGTAATAATTTATTACCAATATTATTTTAATATTAAAATTCTTAAATCTTATACCAAATATATCTGTAAGCAATTAATAATTACTACTTAATAACTGGGTTACTTATTAATAAGTTATTACATGTATGTAAAAAATGGCATTTAAAACATTTATTCATACCTTATATTACAATAAATTGATTATGATTTGTAAAAACATATTTAAATTAAACCAATTTATGTTTTGTTCTTTTATGGAGTGTCAAAGAATGTCTGAGTCGTGTCTTATACTTACAGCCCTTGACATCGCAGCGGACGTCGGGCTCCGTATGGGTGAGCAAATGGTTGTCAAGATTTTGTGCTCTTTTACTTGTGTACTCACATCCGGGCCAATAGCAGGTGTGCGACCGCTCCGCGCTGTGGACCCGTTCGTGTTTGCGCAGGCGTTGTGCCGAAACGCATCGGTACTCACACGCGGGCCAATCGCACGCGAACGACGCGTCCCCGCTGTGGGTGAGGCCGTGGTTTTGCAATATACTCTTCGTATGTGTCCTGAACTCACACTCCGGCCAATCGCACCGATACTCGCGGGTCGAGTGCGTGGTGTAGCGATGCGCTCGCATTATGTTATGGGTTGTGAAGGTTCGGTCGCAGCCCGGGTGCGGGCACTTCACCACCCGCTCGACACACGTGTGCACCTCTGAGTGAATCCTTAAACTCTGTTGCGTTTTGAATCGTTTGCCACAGTTTTGGTGATCGCAGGCGAACGGCCGGTCAGTCGAGTGGCACACTCGGTGTTCCAACATTCTGTGTCTCTTCGCGAACTCTTTGCCACAGCCCTCGTGAGTGCACACGTATGGCGGGCCCTGTATTACAGGCACTTTAACCAT